TCAGCTGTGTGTATTCCAAACCCTTTAATTATTTCTTGTCTGCTTTCAGCTAGCAGAGTTGACAGGGAAACAAAGTATTGAACTGAGGTTGCCCAAGTGGATCCAAGACCTAATAAACGAGGGGCCTATTTGGCTCAGATGCATATTACACCCCTTAACATAGGAGAAGAGAGGTGAATGATATTAGGTGGCAGTTAGCACCTTTACAGTTGAACTTGGCCCAAAAGCCAAGAAGCTGAAAAACTTATAATAAGAAAAATGTTACTTAACCAGGACAGATATTTAAAAGAACTGAAGACACAAACACACTCCACGCTCTTCCAACAGTACTAACTAAATAGTAATCCAAATTTGGGTCACTGATCTGTGCCCCTATTTGAGTCTAGTCCTGATGCTCTATCAGCCTTGGTCTGGCCCACTACTAAAATCCAAAATTCACAATTTTACACTGCTTGAATCAGGCATAAAGTTCTGAAGAATGAGCTCTTCCCTGTCACATCACTGCTGCCCAAATGTGTAAGAAGAAGAATATTAGTTCTACAGGCTGGACAAACTTTCTATTAAATAGATCAGTTTTCAATGGGTTGCACTGAATGGTCTTGTATTGCTGATTAAAAGAGCAGCATCCTACCACAAAACAAGTTTTAGAAAACAAGGAAAAGCCTGCAGTACTAAAATTACTAAATTTTTACCTACAATTTAAAAAAATGCAGATGTGCAAACTAAAAATAATAGTTGCTTACAACTCAATGAATATTAGGTACAAGAGCATGTGTGTATTCACATTTTAAACAAATGCAAATTTGGTATAAAATAAAACATGATCAGCTTGCCTGCCACAAAAGAGGTGAGGTTTTGTTTGAGCAGGAACTCCTAAGGCATAATTTCTGTTTTCAAACAGACATACTAAATAGCCTTAGACAAGTTACAAACTCGTTGATAAACCCTTCTATAAAATGGAGATAATAGGATTCTCTCTCACACAGAGGTGGACATTAATTAGTTAATGAGCTAAATTCACATGGCAACATATAGAAGTATTATTATTACTATTTCTACTGAAGTGGTGCTATGAATCTCAGTCAACCATCAGGGCCCCACTGTGCTAAATACTATAAATAAATACATGGAGATATACCTATCTCATAGAACTGGAAGGGACCCTGAGAGGTCATTGAGTCCGGCCCCCTGCCTTCACTAGCAGGACCAAGTACTGATTTTGCCCCAGATCCCTAAGTGATCCCTCAGAGATTGAACTCACAACCCTGGGTTTAGCAGGCCAATGCTCAAACCACCGAGCTATCCCTCCCCTGCACAAACAAGCAACCAAGATGAAAGTCTTGGCTCAGAGTACTTGCCATCTAGGCATCAGACAGGACAGAACAGGTAGATGAGACAAACATGTGAGGCTGGGAGGATGAGGTAACAATTAAAAAAAAAAAGCAAACAAAAAACAGTATTGCATAAAAACAGAAGTTTCAGCTTGTCACTTGCCTAACAAATACCAGAGAGCACTTATTTGTAAATATCACTGTATAGGTATGTTTTAGGGAGGGACTGAACTTCAATGGAGTTTTACCAGGTACAAAGTTATACCAGACATGAATTTGATCCAGAGTTTCAACATGGAAAGCACAGTATGCCCTCCTTACTGTGGTAGGCATAGAAATTATTCTACACATTTGATATGTACTGATGATAAAATATGTAACAAACAAAATGCCTCCTAAAATGTGTGTGTGTTAACTGAAGTAGATTCATGCTTTACTTAGAAAACAGGAAAACAAAATAAGCATTATGAAAGTTTCAAAGATGGAAACAATTTAGTCCCATTTATTGTACAGGAGGGTATAATTTCTGATCCTGAAACATATGGCTATCATAGAATCATAGAATCATAGACTATCAGGGTTGGAAGGGACCTCAGGAGGTCATCTAGTCCAACCCCCTGCTCAAAGCAGGACCAATCCCCAGACAGATTTTTGCCCCAGATCCCTAAATGGCCCCCTCAAGGATTGAACTTACAACCCTGGGTTTAGCAGGCCAATGCTCAAACCACTGAGCTATCCCTCCCCCCTATCAAATGGAATTCTGAAGTATTTACCCAAATGCATAATGATTTCAGAAGCAGAGGTGGCTCCTGTAATATAATCTGATTTAAAAGAGCGTAAAGTACTGCCCTCCTAACAGGAACTATTAACAAGCTTTAACAATCTGTACAAATATTTACTGAACTGACTGAACATGCATTAAATGTCAGACAGATACCTGAAGACTGATAAGAGGAATGAAAGTAGCAAGCGTGTAGTTTCAAGGTTTCATTATACATTCAATTAACAAAAAGAATTATGTAATTAAATCCTAATTTAATCTTAAAGTTTAGAAGACTTTAAGAAATGTGATCTATAGAGTATGTGTAAATTAATCAGAAATGCCATTTAAACTAGTTTTATTTTTTTAAGCTACATCTATTTTTTTAATAAACTTTTTCAAAGAAAATAAATGAACAACAGAAATTACAGTATAGCCAAGAAATTTTTACAAGGGTGGTAGCTCTCCATCCCAAGATGCAAAACAGGAAATAAGTTTTGGTGCAATACCACACACCTATTTGTAGTCTGAAATGCACTACCTGAAAGAAACAACCACACAATAGACCAGTCAGTTATGATACTTTTATTCCACCATGTAGAAAGAGAGAGTCCAAGAACTAAATTACTTTTTAGGATTTTGGTATTGTAGCACATGTTGTGCATCCTAATAATCTGCACTTAAAAAAAATACATCCTCCATATGCACAGAGTTTGCATGGGAAAGACCCAAAACTGATATATATATTTTAAATCTCTATCACAAAACTAAAAATAAAAACAAAAAGCTCTGAAACGTGTAACTAACATTTGCAAAGACATGCTAAAACAATAGAGAATCCAGGCTAAGGAATCTTCTGATAGCACAATAACTATAAGAATAATGGCTGTTCACTTGGTCCCTTGTTCTGTGGGCAAGCAGAGGTTGGAAGCAATGGAGAGACAGCCAAATAAGCTCCTGTAGTAGGCAGGGACTGCCTCATATTGCAACCTTTCTGATGAAGACAGGCATGGGACTTCTGAGGAAAGTAGGGAGAATGAATGGGAGGAAAAATTGGTGTGTCAGTCCATACCTGAAAGTGTTTCGAGGGGATGTGCAGAACATTTAATTTGATATTGAAAGGCCTCCTGGGCAAATCATATTTTTGAACTGTATGCAACTGACCCCCACTCTTTAACATGCAGTTCCACTCTGAAAACTGACTTTGTAAAAATATGTGTGTATGTACGTATGTATGTGTGTGTACATATATTTTCAATGACTTCCATATCAATTTTCTCAGGCTTTGTCTACGTTACTACTTTTGTTGGTCAGGGAGATGAAAAATACACATCCCTGACTGACAAATTTCACCGGCAAAAGTGCTAGTGTGGGCAGAACTATGCTGGCAGGAGAGGCTCTCCTGCTAACATAGCCAACGGCCGCTCATTGTGGGTGGTTTAATTATGTCAGCAGGAGAGTTCTCTCCTGCTGGCAAAGAGCATCTACACAGGAGACCTTACAGTGGCATAGCTGTGCTGCTGTAAGGTCTGTAATGTAGACATAACCTCAGTTTACAAGCAATAATTAGGACACTACCAAATTCATGGTCCATTCTGGTCAATTTCATAGCCATAGGATTTGAAAATTAGTCAGTTTCACATTTTCGGATGTTTATATCTGAAATTTCACAGTGTTGTAACTGCGGGGGTCCTGACCCAAAGAAGGGTGTGGGGGGTTGAAATGCTGTTGTAGGGGGATCATGGAATTGCCACCTTCACTTCTGTGCTGTGTTCAGAGCTGGGAACTGAAAGCAGCAGCTGCGGAGCTTCCTGCAGCTGGAAGAGGCTCCTGGAGGTGGCAGTGAGTCTGATCCCCGCCATGCTGCTGGGAGCACCCCAGCCAGGGACTCCTAACTGCTAGTCACAACCAGTGGCAGATTAATGCAAAGACCCACAGGGCCTGTGCCCAGGGGCCCCGTCCAATTTGGGGGCCCCCTGAAAAATTGGCACCCCGAGCCTGGGCAGAAGCCCCAAGCCATTCTTAGACTCATCTAACTAAGCTACACGTGAATTAAACTGGCCTGCCAGGAGTTTACTATATTACAAAATTATTTCTTGATTGCTTTGCTTATTGATCAGCTGTACTGATAATCAAATAATCAATAAATTCCACATGATGTCTCAGATTAAATTTTACAAAAACGGAAAGGGAGTTGGGGGAGGGCAATAACATTTCAAATCTCCATTTATTAAGTTAACAATAAATAGATTAATTCTTCATGTTACAACAATATCTAAAGTTTTCATTACTTATTCAATTTACCAATAAGTATAATGCATAGAAAAATCACACACGAGAAGTCTCCTGAATGTCTGACATTTGTTTTGGTGGCCAGAGTCCGTACACTTCAGAATAAAGTTAAATATTAAAAACAAAGCGCATGCTGGGTTTTAGCTGCACAACTTCAATTAAAATCAATGAGAGTCAGACACCTAAAATCCTACACAAAAATCTAAGAAAATGTATCACTATATTTTACATTATATGTTGTTTATCATTTCTTTTCCATATATAAGCTGTAATCTTCCAAATATATTATCTACCTGCTTTTTATATTCCAAAACATGACATTCTAGGTATCACAGCCACTACACATAGATAGTGCAGTTATGGGAGGCTATAGAAAACTAAACAGAAGGAAGACTAGTTGAATAAAATTTCCTATTTTTATAACTTAAATAAAAAGGAAGCTGTGCTTTCTTATTAATACTATGATGATTACCCTTATAATAGACATTCACACGTCTGAGGAGTTGAGTTGGGATTCCTAACTTTTTGTGCTGTTCTTTATAGGACATATTTGAGATAAAAAACAAAATGTATTAGTTTGTATACATGTATTTAAATATAGACAAACTTTTACCTACCTTTGATGTCTAAAAAACCAGATTTTAAGGATTTTGTCTGTAAACACTATGTTCTTCAACACTTATGTATCCAAAAACCAACATTCTCCAGCACGATCTAAAAACACAAACAGTACACAATTCAGACTGATTTTAGCATAATTGGGCTCTTTGAAACAAAAATACAAAAATGAATAATGCTGTTATCTTACAATACATTCCCTTTTATTTTAATTCTTTAACTATATTAATAAAATATTATGGTTAAGATTTTAAACGCACCAAATGCAAGAAATCCATAGTTATGGTTCCCAAAGCAGTAACACCATTAAAATTACCACCTAATATGTTAAAGAGTACATAAAAGCAATAATGAACATACAGACTGGAAGTTAAACAAGAATACTGAAAGAAAATTAAACTATATCCAGTACAACTCTGGAGAATTAAAATTGTTTAGAGAGAACTTTCAGAAGAGAAACCCTGGAATTAAAAGTTGCAGTTTTCACAGACAACTTTGTTAAAGAACAAATCTAATCATAAAATGCCATTTGTTAGTATTTCTGTTCTCAAAAATAAATAAAATATGGATTCATTTATTACAATGGATAGAATTTTCTGTACCTATATACATTTACATGTCAGTAATCAAATTACATTTTCAAACTGTGGTGGGACATGACATAATGATTCATCTAGAATTTAATTTATATGTTAAAATGCCAGTGGAAAGACACTACGCTGACTGCCAGGGCTGGCTCCAGGCACCAGCTTAACAAGCAGGTGCTCGGGGCGGCCAAGGGAGAGGGGCGGCACCTGCGGCAATTTGGGGGCAGTAGGTCCCTCACTCCCTCTAGGAGCGAAGGACCTGCCGCTGAACTGCCGCCGCCGATTGCGGTCTTTTTTTTTCCATTTGCTGCCGCCGTA